ACTATAATAAAAGCGATCCTTCGTCATTTTGTATTTAAATATTCATTTTTGAGAGTTCTTCAGCTCTCCAAGAAATCCTCCTAATCAGGATTCCCGAGTTTCCTATAAGCTGGAGAAACTAGAAAGCTAAAAAACCGCGGGAAAATGCAACGACTACTTTCGAGACGCGACGCCGACAGTGCGTGGTCGTAGTATCCGCCATTACCTTTGGAGCACGCAGGAATGATCTAAAATGAGCGTACAACAAAGAACCGGATAATCTGGATATATCCGCGGCGTCCTCGATGCAAATGAGAAAGCTCGGTTACTAAAAGCAGACGCACGCATTTCACGGATACCAGTGCGCCATGGCGGACCAGATATTTGCACCTCGTGTGACATTCCAGTTCGGCTGGTCAGGCTGTGGACGCGCGGAGAAGTTCAGCGATGAAAGGGGGACCGTAAATCTTAACTTTCTCTCGGTGCCCCGACTATTGCGCTAATATCGCTTCCACCCGCCTTGTCTCTGACAACGGTGATTAATGAACTGTGACTGCCTCGCTCAGGAATTCATCGCGATCTCTGCTCCTGGAGCCCCGTTTAAGGAGCGACATAGCGAAACGTGTTATTCAACGAAATAAGCGCTCTTCTGTTGGCTGCGGAGTATTTTTGAACGTGATTATGGATCTTGATGAGTGGATTAATACCTACATTGGTCCTTTCAGTCTTTCTAATTTTACAGGTCGATGAAACTCGTGATACTTCTCGCAACTGGTCAGACAAGATCGAGATCTAATAACCTGATCGATGAATATTAATAAAACCATCTTCCTGGATATTTAATTTCTCCTTTTGTCTTTCCGACTCCACAGGTCTCTGACGTTTCAAAATCCAAGAGATATTACTTGTGGAGATTAGAAAGATCCATTGTCTCGTCAGCTTGGAGACGTTCCTTTCCTAAGTCGTCCATGGGCTTCATAATCCTCGCGAATTCGCTACGCTAAGTCTTATAAATGGCCAACTGAAATCCAGGAATGCGAATCGATGCATTAGAGAACAAGAGCCTGAACCTAGAGGACAGATTTCAGATTATCCCTCTGAACTAGTGTGCCTCTAATAATCCAAGTGTCTTTTGTCACACTCGAATAGCATCTTCCTCGAATATCTAAATCTACAAAACTCTCGGTACCCTTTGCAAGAACCAGGAAGATGAAATAAACAAATTCATCGTCTAGTCATCTCAGATACAGCGTTCCCCGAAGGTTCCGTCTCCAGGAACCATAATCCCCATCGAATTGGAGACGCTAAGCTTTAAAAATGACCAGTGAAGATCCGCGACGGTCCATTAGCCTGAACAATGATCGTCCAATGACTCATCCGTGCTCAGTACCGACAACGTTCGTCTCCTTCTCTTCTTTTTTTTTTTTGCGTGCGCCGATAGGCAATCCTCGCAGGTTGCGAATCCGCGAATTTCACGGCGGATGTTGCAAATGGCCGAGAGAGGAGGATACCTAAAAGGAAGGATACCTATCGTGGACTTCATCTGGTTTTATTGGCCCAGCGGCGAGTAGGCAGGCGAGCAGTTTCGTTCTCCTCGGAGTAGAATCGCCATGGGTTGTGCGCATACTCACAAAGTCATATGTCATGTCCAGCCGTTTAATGGGCTTTTAATACTACCTCGCGAGCTGCATGTATCCCCACCCGCAAGGTGGCTCGATCGTACCTTTGAATAGGCGCCTCGGAGGTGCGTTTATAAAGGTGGCCCCGACGCGGCAGGGCATAGAAAGTCCGAGTCAGCTCTCGGTAACTAGGGATTCCTGAGTGTCTGTGTCATCGGTTCGACTGCAACCTCGTAAACACGGCGCATTAAACGCGGCTTTCGACGACGAGAAAACGGGACGAAGAATGTAGACCGATCGTCGTATGCGCTGATGCGCGCGTTATGTGCGCAGAAGATCGCAGGTTGCGACACCGGATTCCTGTGTCAACGCACAGTGGGCCACACGGTTCTGCGTTATTCATTAAGGTTTCATCTGGATACACGTTTTAATGGAGTTTTGCTTCGATGTTCATTTTATTCAATTTTTATTCCGTCGGCTGAACTGAATTTTTATTTCTATTTTATTTTTGTGGAATAACTTTCTTAAAGATCTTTCGAATCTTCTTGAAAATTAATCATGCATTTTTATTTCAATAGTTATTTTGCTCGATTTCTGTTTCAATATATATTGTGATGAATTTTTAAAGCCCCTTGAGAGTTAATTATAAACAGCTTTCAAGTGAGCCATTTAAATATTATAATGAATCTACATTTTTCGGATTGAATGTCTTTGGAGACACTCCATTTCATCGTAAACGTTCGAATGCGCGTTCCGTTATTTTCGTTCCAGATTCCTCGGAAAGAAGCTGATTGGAATTGGCCACCCCACTGTCACCTCCTTGTCAGCCAGCCATGTGACAGGTGGAATGCTATTCGTGGTGGAATTCCTTCTCACATACTTGGTGAGATTACACATTCACCTAGGAGTGCATTAAGAATCTCCTTAAATCGTCTGCGATGAGTTTGAAATATAACATTGTAAACCGAGTATCTCAAACTTAATCAAATCACAAATTAATTGTCGAAATTCAAGGAGAGCTAGGATTATAGAGTTCAACCGAAGAAGAAATATTCTTCTATAAATGTCTAAATTATTTATTAAATTCTAAAGAATTAATTCTCGGAAGCTACCATACTAAATCACACATAACCCGACAAAGTATACTTTAATTAATCCAAGGCGAACTATATTTCTCAGAGACTATAAAATTTGCGACCAATAGATGGATGGAACGAATCACGGCGGAGATTTCGCTGCAGATCCATGTAATCCGAAGTCTTCAAAATGTATCTCGAGCTCGCAGAACACGATATCCGTGTTTATGTCGAACGTAAAACCTAACTTGCCGTTGAGCCGCGTCCACTTTCATGCGTGATAGTTTCAGCCGAGTGAATGCATAGCGGGGCATCATGCTGTTTTACGCGTCTCCGTCTTAACATAGTATTTGATAAGACCTTCGAGAACTTGAAATTCTGTGACATAAATCCGAAATGGTTGGCTTGGCCTCGCAATTCCGCGAATATTATCTTTGGTTATAGATCCATCAACTACTTCATATTTTCTTGTATATCCTTGTACGTATATCAATGTAATAAAATCGTCTTCCCTATCTCAAAGAATAAACATATAGAGGGGTAACATTAATTCAGAAATTAAATTGAGTAGTACAACGTAACAAGAGTTCAAAATTTACAAAATGAATTCGTGAAACTTTCTATCGAAGGCAAGACCTAGGATACTCGAGCGAAGGAACAATAATTGAGTTTTTCTAACGTTCAGAGTAGAAGGTCCCCTTGAAGAGCCACTGCCGTCGACTGAGTGCACGAAGCAGCAAGGTACGCGATATATGCACCGCTTATGATCAAACAAAAGGACCAAGAAGAGATGGCCCATTGTCTTCGTTGAAATTCCACTGAAAGCGAAATGCCGAGTGGCGAATACCACCAGCTGGTCAGCTCAAGCGTCAGCGAATCCAGCTGGCCACTTCTGGACACTCCCGACAACGATGAAGGGAGTGTCTTTCACTGTAAACGGTGGCTCGACGGTTCTTTAATACGAGGCTATAGACTTTCCATAGGCTTCCATAGACCGAACCGCACTCCTTCAATTATGAAGAAGGAGCTACCACAATGGGCGATCAAGTGAGTTCAAATATACTTCAAAGAGAACAAAGAGATGGCGAGGGGGAGAGAGATGTCATTGATTTCAAGGAAAGGGTAACTCATACGTACACTAGACGAAAGAAAGTTGCTTCCGAGAGTTTAAACTTTCGATCTGTAAAAAGAAATTCAATTCTTTAAAATTCTTCGACTGCTTCCAATGGTCTGTAAGAGTATCTCGCATTGAAGCAACGTATAAACAAACAACCGATACAAATATTTGCGATTTCAAATTATAAAGACAGAGACCACCACGTAAAGATTCGAGAAGCATGTAAACGAATGTGTGAGCCACCGTAAATCTTCGGTCAATGAAGTCGCAAAGTCAACAGAGTGGTTCAACAGCGATCGTCAATCTCGCGTCGACGAGATCCGCTTTCCATCCCCATGAATAATTCATTCTCCGATCGATGATTTTCAATTCGTTCGGTTTATCGTGAGAGTAGCGGCGAGGTAGTAAGAGCACGATTCGTATCGACGATTGAGAACCAGATTCGACCGCTACCTTACCGATGAAAGTCGCCAGACGCTTCACCGCGGCGTAGGAGATAGCAGCACTCTACTCGCCTTATCAAATCGGCGAATTGCGACGATTCGTTTCGCGTTATCGTTGAAACGAAACGGAGAAATCCTTAAAACGCTTTTGACCGTGATATGATCGCGAAAAAACGGTTGATCGCGATGAATTCCGTGCGCATCCGCGAGCGATACACTTTTTTTCCTCCGCGGAGCGAAGAAAATTGGCGATATGACGGAGATAGGTGAAACCGGAAAAACCAGAATGCCTACGCGATCGTGAAATCCCTTTTACGACCCTGTTTTACACCGCCGCGAGGACAAAACGAAGTTTTTATCGTTCAATTCGAAACACCGGTAGACTTTACGAGTTCGTTCGTTTCCTTCCTCCTGCCTCTGTCTCTTTCCCTTTCCATCGGTGGCGTTTGTTATAGTTTTATTATTCGATTGAATCTACGTATTTCATTCGGATAATTCAGCGATTAATTGATATTTCCAGCGGCGTCGTTCACGGTAATAAACGGGATCGCGTTGATGATGCTCCATTAAGGGAGAGTATCGTCTGCATGGGAGTCCTGCTGTAGGGATAATTTTTTTCAACGATGAGGAGTGTCTAATGTAAATATTTCGTAGGTATTTTATTGGAAGGTCGTACTTTGGGTAGTCACTCTCTAAATGTTTGTGAGAAAATGTTGATCTGTAAAAAAAAATGTGAGTCTTGCATTAGGAGTGTCACGAAAGTCTGTATATTTTTCTAATTATTATACATTGATAATCGAGCCCCAGAGAAATTCATTCCTGTCTTACTTGGATACCATTTAAACTATCGTATAAAAGTCATGTTCATTTATGAGTATAACGGATCGTAGACGCAGCAATGAAACCACACGTTGGTCTATTTTTGCAGCTGACATCGGTAGTTAATTAAATGTGTATTAACGGCGTAAACGACTCGAATGGTATATAAGGGACTCAATTAAGTGGCACTAAAGGGAAATTTAGCGGGTTAACATAACGATCGAAATCTATTTGCATTAAAATAATCGTTAAACGCTTCGTATAACCGCGTGAGTGTTTTCGAAAGATGGAACGATTACAAGATTATGGAAAAACGATTCTTAGGACAGCGAGTCATTCATATGCCTGCAATTTACCTTGATTTGACCCTGAATATCCATTGAAGACGTGTAACATAGATTTGAAATATTTGCAGCATTTTTACAAGAGTCGGATCATGTTAGGATTGATACGAGTCGGTTGTTGAAATTTGCGATAAATAAATTTTATTTACATGAGTATTGGCCACGTTCCGTCTTTACGACCCATCCACATCACATTTTCTGATCGTAAACGGAAACCTTTTAACACTCGCATTGTCTATTGCATTCGTTTCCATTGTCATTTGTCACTTATCGTTGGAGTTACTGGTTTTAATTATAGGTATAAAACCATATGGAGGTGTGCAGCCTCTGGTACTGTCTTCTCTGCTTCTGTTCGACGAACCCTTTCTTCTTCTCACAGGTTTAGACGTACCACTGCACTTGATGATGAACCGTACCTCTTCTATCAATTCGTCCTTAATGGGCACCTGAGGAATAACGGTAGATTTAAATAAATAAATTCAACAAACACTGGCGTCTACATAAAGCAGGTTACGTACAGACATATTTACATTGGACAAACTTATTTAACCCTTTTAGACCTGAATTATTTTTTGTTCTCGTACTAATGGAAGTCACTACTATTAGTACTATTGTAAATCCGAGTATATTATGTGGCGACGTTGGTCGATGTGGTTAGAGCAATTAACACGTCCTGGTCGTTAAGATGATGATTTTGCTAATGCACTCACTTTTTCACGTTTTGCTGTAGCGATAACGTCCCAGAGTAACTCGAATAATGTGTAAAAGAAGGACAAGCCAACACCTACAGACAATACTAGGAAAACACCTCCCACATTATCGAGATCCAATTCGCCAGCTTGACCCCCACCACCGTCCTCCTACGAATCATTCACGCATGATTTATTAACCGCAAGCCTTTCTATCGATATACGTGATATAAGATTTGATCACGTTTCTAAATGCTACCGAGAGATATATCCAATTGTTGATTGGAATATTAAATTTCACGCGTAAATTTCTTAACGCGTTGACTGTCAGACAAATATTCTTGAAAGTTTCTGCTAATTTCATTTAAATTCTGGAATTTCATTTAAATTCATTCCCTTTGACGCTTCACTTTCAGAATTTATTTTTCTAGTTCTTCAAAAGCACTGTCACCCATATATGGGTGACACGGCGACCAACGTGTTAATGTATTTCCATTTCGTATCGTTCGAATTAAATATTCAATCGCGCCGTACCTGACACTTTCCTCCCCCGCGTTTCTGCGTCCACCACTTAGTCTTCAGTTCCGTAATTAGGCCACTTTGCTGAAGCTTCAACACGGCAGAGTTCAGGGGGTGACGATAAGGAGAGTCTGAAATGTATGTACATAGTTAAATAAATCAGATGTAAGGAAGGTGTTCGAGCTCGTTCTCAATCCTCTGACAACACGACTAACAATACCGAATTAAAATCAACGTACGTTTCTTCATGGCGATCCCATAACCCTTGGCATCGAGGAGTCCACCTATCTGCGTCACGTTGCACTGTCTTTCCGTGAAGTATTCTATAGAGCTGGACTCCATCAGGAACGCGTAGTTAGACGTCAGCACCTTCTTCTGACCAGACTCGTTGTCGGACGTCAGAACTTCGTCCGCGTTGGCCATCATGGTGTTGTACATCTCCTTGTACGTCGAGTAGTTGGAATCCTTGGAAATGCCATAACTCTTTAAGAAAACTGAATTAGAACGAACGGCTCCTAGTATATTTTGCCTAGTGTCCGACATGAATTGCTTTTAAATTCGTCGTGTCGTCTGATTAGTCAGCGGAGGGACAGATGAATTTTTAGTTACGACTTTGATTTCTGGTTTTAATTTTTTGTTATGTTGACAGGGGATCTGTGTAATTTAAAATGAAGATGTGGAATGGTGATTGATCCCAAAAAATATCTATTTTTATTTCTACTACTCTATTTCGATTCAAGCATTATTTAAAATCTACTAGCTCTAAAGAAAGCTACAAGCGCATCGTTGTACATCGTTGATTTTGTATTATTAAAATTGTATTTGCCTTGGGGTTGATAATGTATTCATGATCAGGTAGGGACTATTTTCTAAGATTATGCAACTAATATTAGGGTTAAATAAAGCATACGTATCGGAAGTCTTTTCGACCCTTTGAGACAGGGGTGTGAAGTTAGCAACTAATTAAAAATTGATACACATCTCTTACATTTGAAACATGTACTTCGGGTGCTGTATCGATCCTGTAAAATTCCTTACTACTGGCAATTATAATACTTTATTTTTCTCCGCATTTGGTATTTTCTATTTGCCTAAAAAAATGTGTTATATTTACAGAGAGACACTCACTTCGAAGAATTTCAAGGTGGATCCTTGCTTTTTAGCGCCGTATTTGATTGTTTTTTGCTGGGCTAATTCTTCAACGTTTGAGAATGGCTTCACTACCGTTTCGACGGTCAAAAACGCCGCCAAGTTGGCTGTATAAGACGACACCATGATTAGGCAGAAGAACCACCAGGAAGTAGCCATCATTCGCGTCGATAGGCCTCTGTAAAAATCGCACAAAATTCACTCGATGTTATGAATGAGAAAATGTCCATTAAACATTTCTGGTTGCTAACATCTCTTTCATAAATTAATTGGAAAGATATCGCACGATAATTGATTATATTCTCATATTACTAAATTCGACTCACATAGGCGCGAGCTCGGAGCCCTGCTGCATAATAGCACCGATCGTGAACCAGAGGGAGTTTTTAAAAGTGAACTGATTCTCCAGTTCCTCTGGCTCTTCTATGCATGGATAGGGGTTGTTCCATTCGGCAGGACATAACCTGCCAATCACGAATAGTACCAGGGACACGGATATGTAAGCTAGCATCAAGTACAACCAGACACCAGACGAAAATGGCGACAGGAAGGAGAACAAACTGGGTGGCGTCTTTGTTGGTTTTTGATATAGGATGGATATTCCTGCGAACAAAGGATTAATATGTTTGATAAAATGTTTTCTGATTAAAAATGAAATAAGGAATTATTCTATATATATATAAAATAAATAAATGTGGCTTTATTTGAAACTCATCTGAACAGAAATTTTGTTCGTGGAGTACGTTGATCTTAAAGAGTCATACCTAAATTCATAAAAGGCATCGTAAAGTCTACCGCTGCTTCCCGTTCCGACGTTATGGTTAGATCGGTAATAGCTAGATCAGCCGTCTACAACATAATTTCACCGGATATTGCATTTTAATTGCTCTCGAGTATACCATGCCACAATATGGTATATACGTCACTGAAACTAACACCTTCAATGATTTTCCCCAGCATTCCCGTCCATTTCTTTGTCTTTTGTGAAAAGGAACCGTAAACACTGTCCGCTTGCACTTCGAACGTATAATTGAAACCGAGCATTTTGCTCAGCTCTTGGATAATATCGATGCCGAATCCCTCGTAGCGGTCGTTACCGGTCATCATATCGGCGGACTCCTTTAGCATACCGTAAGGATGAGTCTGCAAAAGATTTTTTTTTCTGTTCGAACTAATTCATATGTTTAAATATTCGTACTCAATATTTTGCTTCGTTAAATCTTGTTAATGAAATATCGTTGCGAGGGTCAGTGTTCTAATTTCGTTCGCGCACGTACGATAGATATGAGGATGATGAACGTTTTATTCTGCAAACTGAACTCCATCTCTGATTTGGGGGGATTGCTTTCCGGTTGCCATTTGACAGAGTTCGTGCTGTTCCACGTTCCAATCTTCTTCAAACCGTTCTCTCCCAAACGCAACACGTCCAGCTGGAAATCGCTGCGGAAGCCAGCCGTGTCGAATTTAATCATACCGGTCAAACCTTCCATTTCGCTCTGGAAATGGTGGAAAACAATGAAACCAATATTCGAAACTCTCACTATCACGCAATGAATAATTAAAAAAAAAGCTTTTTCTCGAAGACGTGCTGAAATCAATAAAATGAAGTAGTTAATAACAATTACGGTTCAGAATAAGTATTCATTTAAAACATTAGTTTTCAATCTCTCAAACTCTTACGTGTTCGCGAAGTCTTTAAATTTTTTTCATTTTCAACGTAACAATTTCTCTCTCGACGAGATAAAATACCTCGAAAAATGAAACGGAGAGTCAATCGAAGAAAGTGAGGTAAACTATGAATCACGTAGAAATTCGTGTGATTAGAGACTGTGGAAGTCCTCCCAAGGGCCGGCATAAGTAAATAGAATGAGCTCCGTTGACAGAACACACTTACGAGCCGCATGAAGTTGCTCAAACTGTAGCCGTGCTCCCAACTCAAACTGCCGTTGCAGGATAATTGTTTCACGTCACCCTTGATGGCGTCCTTTAGACGTTTGAAGGCCCTGGCGAAAAGTTGCACGGCGTCGTACATGAGAGCGGGCTCGACGCGCAGCTGAGATGGATCGTCCAAACCCCATTCGTTCTTGTGCATTTCCACTGTTCTGTTTACGAGCTCGCTTTCAGGATCTATCAGCCGCACTCCAGTGAAATTCACGCCAGAGAATTGGTACGGTTCCAGATCCAACGTCTGGGCATCCTAAATGTCGTTCAATCGTGTTCCATTATTAAACTGTGTAAAAGTGGGAGATTTTACAGAATAATACTTGTTACTGGAATTTATTTTGTTGAAAAACTGAGAATATTCAAATATCGTTTTTTAAATAGAATTTAAGTAAAACTGATTGATATAATCCATTTAGAAATTGGATAGATTGTCTTACTGATCACTGTGTATGTGTAGAATAATTTATCAATCTACAGAAAAAAGAGATAACTTTACCAGGTTGGTTATTATAACTTTGTTCTTCTCCGACATAATACCGACTTGCTGAGCTTGCTTCAACACCTCTGCGAGAATCTCGATGGAGCAATCGATAACAATGTTCTCGACCTCGTTGTCCTTCATCTCGCGCATCACCTTTCTGCACATCAACAATCATATATAATTCTTTGTACCTAATTTTTTACCCTTTAACTCGTCATTTCTAAAACACTTTATTTTAATACAGCATGAATTGATAAATAGTTGTATGAGAATTGTTGCGAAGTTACGAACCTGTAACTAGGCCCAGGTCCTAGATGATACGGAAAGATCAGGTGATCGTGAGCATCCAAGCGCTCCAGTAAACGATAGAGGCGAATTAAACTGTCGGTGTTTTCGTATAATATTCCGAACTCTTTCCACTCGAAATCGGTAATCATTAAGTCGAAGATCTGGAGGCATGTCGAACATTTATCTCGTGAAATTACCGCGCCAACGCATGTTTTATTGTTCTATTCTAAGATGTCTATTGTTCTCCAGAGACAACGTTAGAGTCGATTGGAAATCAGAAATATCCTAGGTTGTGCAATGAATCCATTCTAACTTGGGAATATATTGGCTACCTATTTTTAGAAAGAAACTTACAATATATGAAATTACAATATAAAAAATTTAATAGACTGTACATTCATATTTCCGGTGTCTCGAAACGACTATCCATCGAAAGAACATGTCTGGTGAATATGTATATTGGGTGGGATAAAACATTCCAAACTGCACTAATTTTTGTCTCGTCTAATTTGCGTGAAGTACGTAATACTCTCAAACCACCTTAATTACGTAATACTCTCAAATCATCTTAAGTCTACCTATGTATCAATCCTAATTAATTGAAGCAACGGTTTCACGTAATACATCTGGAAATGCGTAACGCCGAACGGACTTGTTACACAACCTAATACGTTCTCAAAGATTGAACTCATAAAGCTGCCATTGCATTCCACGTACCACCGAGAGGGTTTCAGCGTGAGGATACAAGTTTATCCCTTTACCGCGAGCTTGCGAGGGCTCCCACCTGGCATAAATGTGTGGCATTTCCATGGTGTCGCATATACTCTGTACGTGGTTCGAGGTGACCTTATTCGTGGGACCGAAAATCGCGGCCACCCCGTGTTCCATCAGCTCGCAAACTGAAAATATCAAAAGAAATCGTTCGAATCGAAAGTTTCACAGTGAAATGCACGCGAGAACGCAAACCTTTGAAGCCCCGGGAACGGCTCCCGTACCTTTCGACGACACTTCAAACGAGTCCGTCGAAACCTGGTTAGACTTGGCCACGAGATACACGTTGGAGAACTCCTCGTTCTCGTGGCGCTCTTTGTTCACCGTTTGCGCGGACGTTTCGAAGGCCCTCTGCATCTCCTCGCCATCATCGAACAGGCCTCCTGTGTTTTAATTTTATTTACGTTAATTACATGATTTGCAATAGTTGTAAGATTCAATCAAGTATTTTCTGAATATATAATGAATTTGTATATTGAACACAATATTCATTCGTTTATTTTATTAACATGGTTAGGAGGTCAACTTTTTATTAAATCAAATTAAACACACTCTCTCTTACCTATATGAATTTTCTTAGGGAATCCCAGAACGCAGGAGATGAGGATCAGCGGGAGACACTTAATCAGCATTTTGCGGTCATTCTTCAAGCTGACACTGAACCTGTAGTGACAATCGAAAGCGAAAATAATCGAGGTTAAATTAAAACAGTGACTCCAGAAACCACATGAACCTATCCTTCCCTTCCCGATCTCTAATTAAGTGTGTCGATTAAGGACAGCGGTCGATAAGAAAGCAAAACTTCCGTTTCTCGAGATGTTTGCGAAAACTGCAAACATCGGTGGCAAACATTCTTCGTGGAACAGCCGACATTAACCCGTTGAGAATCGCCGGTCGACGATGGTAGACATAAAGCCTCACAGTGAGACACGATTAGCTTCGAAGCAGATTTATTTGCAATAAGATCGCGTGTACGAGATTCGGTGCAAACAGTTGAAACATACTGGTGGGATCTGAACGGGCACTTAAACCCGCGACGTTGTGTAAACCGGACGGAGACCATTACACGTCTGAATTCTCGACGCGCGTAAACATTTACATCCGTCTAAAATCAATCCTCCAATATTGAGTTCGGCTATTTATTTGAACCTACCGAATGGGGCTTCTGGCCTGTCAAATTCACGGTGGACGTCTTGCTTCGCGACGCTTTTGTTTCGTGGGAAGAAACGCCGCAGGGACTCTTCTTCTTTCAGGTCTTCTTTAGACTAGTGAATAGGCAGATTCGTTCAGCGGGAAGGAAGGGACGTCCTTGGGTGAAAATAACGTTTCCGACAGGGGGGTGGGGACAGACGACGAGCTCGTTAATGAATTTTCCGTTTGATAGGTCCTGCTGGAAATAGAGCAGTATGGGAGGAGACGGATGTATCTCGTATCTGGAAATGAAAAATGGTTCGAGAACGTGGCACTGGAAACTTCTTGCTTTGGAGACAGAGATGAAATGTGCGAGTGATGTTATTTGTTGTATTAAAGCAAGTATTTAAGCGCTACTTTAAATAATAGATTCTATGAATAAGTATTATAAATACCATTAATAAATAGACACGCACATTGGGTTAACTGAGTGACAGGATAATTTTGGTAGCATCGATTTCGCACGTGTACTTTTCCACGTGGGGGCACGCGAGCCATTTTAATCATGGTCATTCTGAGAGGGACTGTCATCTTGCCAAACGCACGCGATCTGGAATCTTCTTGTTCATTCATTCGCTCGTCATCTCTTTCATAGTGATGTGTCATGCGTACGCGTTGCGCAAACGTTAGTAGAAAATTGATGTGTATTATAAAAAGAAAGAAAGGTAAATTTCGAATCAGGTGTGATTTTACTCAGACTTTGCAAAACAATAAATGAAAATGACTGAACATTCTCTACATTCCACTTACTCATGGCACCGTACTTATTTTATTTATAGACTGATCTTTCTTTCTTTCTTCAGTGTCATCGTGCCATTTTCAGTTGCCTCGAAAAACTCACGAAAATCTACGAGTGCGCGCAACGACGCAGATATATTTAGACGTGGAGCGTCGTCGCCAGTGGCGCTTGTCGCTTATAAGCACTGTGACATAGTTTTCGCATAATCACAATCAACGACGCCTTCAAACCGGGATCGCTCGCACGTTTAATTTCGTATTTCCACGAAGAGGCGCGTGCCACGCGTGTTTTCCGTCACTCGAATTCTTCCTTGGTTTGATTAAAAGTGAAAGTTTCATTCCACAAGTCACAAACTAAATCTTCGAAACGTTTGACGCTGTGCCGAGTCCGCAAATATCTACTCTTAAAAAAGGAACCTCCCTTAACGTCAAGAAAATAATATAAATACGTTCTAAACTGTTTACATCGAAAAGTAACTTTATTTTGTCTGAATCTAGAATAAGTATGCTCAAAAAATTTTAAACAAAAGAATATAACACTTATTTAAACTTTCAATCTTTAAGAAACACAGTATTTCTCTTCCCCCCAGCTCTAAAGTGAGACTGTAAAGGATAACTAAGCGTGATTGTGATCGAAATCTGTTCTGCGTGGATTAATAAATATTCCAATCGAATTTTCATGCTCGAAGAACAGTTTTAGAGCACAAGTGGCGGATGTTAGAGAGTGCCGAAACGGCAACTCGCGCGACGAGCGTTAAAGATGGTGGGACTTACCTAAAATTGTAATTACACGGAGCTCGTTACCTGGAACAGATGTTTGATAAACGTGCTTTTCGGAACGAACACCGCGGCATGCACTCTAATTCCGAACGCCACTTCGCGAGCGGGTTTTCACTGCGCACACGCGTCCTCCCTTCCAAGACTCTTGGATTCATTTGTACACGGTAACATGGCGGGCATCACGAACCTAACTTATTGTTAGACCCGCTGCCAGCGGCTTTTCGACGACAAGCTGCCCGTGGAAGAAATACGCGAGCGCTCGATTCGATATTCTCTCCATTTTTCATACTTTTCAACTCCAGACTTCTTATAGATGACTCCTGCCTGGTAAAATATGAATTTGACTTGTTACTGGTGGCTGAGAGCAATTATGGTTGTTAATTCTATAGGATTTAGTTAGGATTCTTCCTGGAGTCAGTTTTAGGTCTTGAGGATTTCTTCATTTTGTGAAGGAATATGGACTAACTTTGTGAAGATAAAGTGAAGGGAGGGGGCCAATGGTCATTTTTACAAAGTAGTATTTTTTGAGTGATATAATTTGTTTGAATGTGATTGCTTGTAAGTAATGGGAATTCTCACTATTTCCAATTTCTCTTTATAATTTTCCTCCAAATAATGTGCTCAAGATCAGTTTGTTAATTTTTCTAAGCAAGAGCTCGATCAGGTGTTTCGGTTGAGAAAGGAAATCCGCAGAAGCGGCGATAGACGGTCGAACGTGTGAAAGATCGAGATATGCAAATGAGCGTGCGGAGATAAGAAGACGCGAAGAGGGAAAAGTGGTCGGGAATCAGTCGGGAAGTCGGCAAAGTAAATTAAATGGCCGCGTTAGCGTTCCGCGGGGCCAAAGAGAAGGAAAGAGATGTGGAACTTGGATACATTAGTGAATTAGTTACGTTAGCGGTTTGGGATTTGGTTCTCTAATCAAGGGAACGAAGAGTGAAGGCAGCGGCAATTGATGTAAAGGTAGAAGTTCCCGGGGACCAATTACGCGGCCGCGGTAAAGGTAGAAGTTCTCTGTCGTAATCAACGAGGGGATTACGGCTGCGCGTTAAGTATATTACGCGTGGAATAATTTTCCGTTTAAACGAAAGAACATGACGCTCCGCAATTAATCACGCAACGTATGCAAAGTAAGCATTCGAGAAGCTGCCGCGGAAGGAAACCCTCGGGGATTTGGGTGCAACGAACTTCCACCAGCCACAAAGGGTGCGGTAATTAAATTATGAACGGAATTATGTAGCTGCTAACCGGTGTATTTAGAATAAATTGTTTCGACTACCTTTTATCAGAGTGTGAGCTCTCGAAGATACAGGATAAGAATAACGTGACAGGAGGCATTTAATCACACAACTGTTGAAGTTTGAAATATAAATATTATATAGGACTGGGTGGAGTGGATGAGAAATGAATCAGTCGATGAGTATGTCTTCGTGGAATGCGATTTTATTCTTTTATGCTATTCAATGGCGATGCAATTTTTAAAAATAATATCTCGAAAACTTCCATCGTCATAAAATGTTCCAAGTATATATTAGAAATTCAAAGTTAAAATGTTTTACTTTATATTATTCTATTCCTAATATATAGTATCCGCTTGAAGTATTGTAAAAATATAATCAATCGATTATTACCTATTGCTAAGAATTCTTACACCTTCTCTGGGGCTGACCAAGATGATCTCATTCTAATTTCGAAGGAATTCAATATTACCTGTATTATCGAATCCACACAAACCAGAATCTTCCAATTGGGTGTGAATAAATCTTCAACCTAAATGTCTATATTATTTAAAAAGCATTTGAAATATTCATTCTATAGACCAGGGCTTCTTAAAGTATGGTCGCGACCCCAAATGGGGTCGCTTAGCGTAATATTGGGGTCGCGAGATTTTAATGTAAAATATTTAATATTCTTTTTTATTCATGTTATTGCAAAAAATGCTGTTTTGATGAAAAATGGAGTATACAATTTTGTTAACTATAACAAATACAATTTTACATCTTTTTGTGCAATTTTTAATTTTATATTTTCTCGTCTGTATATATTTTTACCTAATCAACAAATCATCATAAATGTCATGAATGAAAAAGGTTTAAGAAGCCCCGCTCTAGACGAACGACAAAAGACGAACACCTCCAATGATAATTTACAGACGATGAGTTTTATTCACGTTTATAATATGATGCTCGTAGTACACTTTATGTAAGAAGTATAATTAATAGGCTCTTAACAAACTCGCCACGACGTGAACGCATTGTAACGCGGTACAGACAATATTTACAGTAGTTACGTGTATAATACGCGGTGTACCGTTTAATGCGGGTATCGCGTTTGTACGTTTACGTTTTCTTTCTTTCTTTTTTTTTTTTCTTCGATTCGGGTGTACAGAGTCTTCGACGGGAGCTTAGTCGGTTAGTCGAGAGTAAAAAACGACAGAGACTTCGTAAAACGATGATACATCAAACGACGTAGGTCGCGCACGGGCCCCAAAATCGTGCACGACGTTCGCGGCCAGCGCAGCCTGGCAATATCGAACACTCGAATTCTGACGCTAATTGCATTTCGCTGATCTATCTGCGTCCGGAAATCGATCGCTATCGGAGCTAGGCGGGCACCTGTGCACGTGCATGCTATTCACGCGTGTTTACGCCTTAAGAGAAGGAAGACGGAAATTAATACTGCTCAGTTCGTGGCGTTTCGTGAATAGCAACGTGCGCCGACTGCGAGCAGGATTCCTGGCGATTCGTTGCCTTCGAACGTGGATTGATTAAAGGAAATTGGAAGACTTTACTCGAGATTAGATATAATTACATAGAACAAGATCACTTTCGTGCGAACGTGTTTAATACTGAATCCAAAGGTACGAATGACAGGTATATTCAGTGTTGTAGTTTACTCACTCTTTGGAATAAACGAACTTGAACAGAAACTTGAATGCGAGACGAAACTTAAGGAAAATTGAAGTTAAGATTACAAGCACGTATAAACAATTAATTAATTGTTTTTTGGTTTGCTAGGAATATTTTAATTCACCTCTTACGGGTCTGACCTAGACGATCCTATTCTACTTCAAAGAATCCCGGCTTATTATTTAATCGATTCGAACGTACAACGTTCAAATTGTCTGTGAACAGGATTATTTAACAATGTATCTATATGCAATGATACCACTAAATACATGTTATAATTCACTTTTAATAACATCAAATAATTTTGATTTTTCTGTACCATGCGTTTACACACTTTGCATTCTGTTTTAATTTTTATTTGATGTCTATCAACGAAGATGTTCGAGGAATCAACGCGATCGCAGTTGACGGAAATTAGGTGAGCCTCGCAGACAGACCAACGAAATTTAATGGTAACAATAGTGAGGCTGAAAGCTTCGAACTCTGACGAAAGTGAGACTCGCCACTCTCGATACGAAAAGAAAATATAAAATATCGCTCGTTTTCTATCTAAATCCGGTGAAGTGTCGCCGAAACGTTGATACGTGAACATTTCTACGACGCTCATACGCGGTTGACACTTCGTCATACAGCATTCGGGACGAAACGCTCCGAAATCAAGAGATTACTAATTGAACGAACAATTTCTCTCGCGATAAGATCAATTTTTCTCATGAACGTCCTATAATACAATTGCCGTTGCATAGACGCGATCGTGTAATTCGTAATCTTAACGGTTAGCATAATTATTTACACTAAATGTAACTGAACGCCATCGAACAGAGACGGGGAGACGTTCGTGGAGCATTCGAGGTTTCGATTCGATCAATATCGATGTACTTTCTTCGAGAATTACGAACGTGGTCGATGCTGGAACGATCTTCGATTCACGACACTTTCGTTCGCTGTTCGAGTAGCGTTGCGTACATGCATTCGTTGAATTCATTTTCCCTTCTTGATCGTCTTCAACACGCATACTCATCGCGAAACGGTCGCTGGGCGCTCGCAGTGGATCCTGGGGGAGACATCGACGCGTGGTCGAGTGTGTGCGTTTATTTGCTCGCGAATGGGTGTTGAAAAATGATCTACGTGACGTAACACGATATTATAAATTTGGTGTAGGAATAAGCAAATGCGAGAGGATCAATTAATTGTAGTCATCTGTGTACGTATATGTCGTTCAGATGTTTGAAACTGACAAATAAATTTAGATAAAAGGCAAGATGTTTCAACACAGATTTCGACATACAAGATTAATAGATACAAGATTTCAACATTCACAGTTTAAGTAACGTGGAAATAAAAATACATACTAACTTATAACTTATAACGATGGAGAAGACTTGAATATTATATAAAATGCACATTAAATATTATTGTCTTAATTGTAATAATTGAGGTCTCGAAGATAAGGACATATAGGTGTACTTCATGAACCAACGGCATGGCGTACAGATACATCTAATAGATTAATAGGACCATTAGGATTCATTGATTTATTGCTCGAATTTAAATTAAATAAAAAGGTTGGACTGATTTATACATAAAATAAATATATCCCTATCATACAAGCCAACGACCTCCCTTCTAGATACAATTAACAAATTATTACATACCAAGTAAATAAACCCATCATCCACGACCGTTCGCGTTTTATCCAGCTGACCGGAAAACACAATCAGCGACCGATCCCGTCCCGTCTTCGTACCGCGCTCTATTTTTTGCCAGAGACGTCCGTTTTTACCGCAAGTAGCGTTACAAGATACAAAGGCTTCCAGTTGGCTCCCTCGTCCTCGTTAATCCTTCCGCACGAACGGCCACGCGTCGTTGTCTACCGCTACAATCCAGCGAGCTTCGATCAACGACCGAACGTGTACATCCTACGAAGTGCTAGTCGAAGAACTACCTTGCTCGACGTTCGCGTCACTCGTAATAAAAAGTGGGAGAAAGGAAAAAAAAAGGAACGAGGGGTAGAGAACGGACGCGTCACAACACACACACACACACACGCGCGCGCGCGCGCGCGCGCAGGTGGAGGTGAGTCCGTTCCCCTGGACCTGGTCGACCTGTTCGCGCCTCGTTGCACACAATGTTCCGCGATCGATCGCGTCTCGGATTCGTTCGATCGCGAATCGTATCAGTCGCTGGCCGTCGCGCGAACCCAGAGCGTTCAAGTGAGCGGCGCTTTCCCGACGAAGTGCCTGTACTTGTTGCACTCCGGGTACCTGCCCTCTTCAGAGACGATCGACAGATTGGACTGCTGTCCCTCGCGGCGGCATAGCGCCTTCTTCACCGGCTTCTTCGTCCCATTCCCGCAGTCCAGGGCGTAACGTAGCTCGCTCGCCATCTCCGAGCACACGGACTTCTGCAAAGTGGGACGAAACGAGCGCTGCAAAGGTCTCGATCGTACGGCCCTTCACCCCATTCGAGGGGCGCGAAGCTTCGTCAGCTGGATGCCATGACGCGCGACGGAAGCTTCCCTGCTGCGAATCGAGCTGGCGATACCGGATATGAAGTTTTTATTGCGTCAGAGGCAGTAACTTTTTAGTGGCGAGCAATACCGGCGACAGGGCGAAACGACAGCGGAGAAGCTGGGAATTTGCAGCGCGTTTAACGCTGGGTTCTGACAGATCAGTGGATATTCCTGTTTCCGCGGACCAGGTGCAATAGTGTGCTCGTATATCCTGGAGACTACGTTTCGACGAAGGTCGGCAGAAAAATTATATGGGGCTGCTGAATTTATTTTGGTGTAATCTAGGGAGAGTTTGTCTAAGACAAACTTGAAATGTTTGATGAAATTGTACGTATAATCGTATTTTCTGGAGGCCATGTTTTTAGTAAATAGAGAGTGACATTACGTGACAGCATCAAATTTATTTTGGAGCACTACATGTACAGAGGAATGTCGTCTAAATTAGATCGTTTTCCTTGAATTGTGAGACTTCTAACAAGTCAGAAATGTTTCAAAAAATAGAAAGGCAACAGTAGTGGACCAGTTTTTTGGAAAAAATTACGATGGTATGAATAATTTTGATCAAATGTTCCAGCAACACTTTGGATCTACAATGCCTGAGAATCGCGAAACAAAAATTTCAGGGAATAGACGGAACTGATTTCAACGTTCCTCGTTTGGATCTTCAGTTTTCTGATACGATGCGTCATAACATCGAGCTGACTTCTCGACGATTAGGCCGCTTGTTTATACCGGCGCACATGTCGATACTCAACTATATATGTAGTTGCATTAATCGATGCAAGGAAGGAGTGATGCAAGGAGTAATAGGAATCTTGCTTTCTATTAATAATTACTCATGCAGTTGTCAGTGAAAGTCATGCCAGTTCGTGAGTTTTATTTCTATGAATCGTTACAAGAAAAATAGTCAAGCTGAAGTTGCGTTCCTTTAGACAGCTAATAGAATATACAATATGCCATTCTTCAAGACTTAAAATCACTCGACAGCAACAGTTATTAAAATTAAACGAAAAAAACCATAATATATAGTATATATACTCGGAATGTTCATTTCTGTTTTTGGTGCCAGTTAGTGGTGCAATGACACAAATGGAGGTAAATGTTTTTATTATTATGGAAGGTTTTGACCAATTTCTGGCCCTCTTCAGCGGTATAAATACAATTCAAACAATTAGAATAAAACACCAATTGAAGAATAATATAACATAACGTAATAAACATCATATAACAAGACAAATGCAGCAAATTACAAATAAGAAAAAAAATTATATAAAAATGTATATATAGTCAGTCCCATAAATATTCGTACTCTCCATGTCTATTGAACACATTTGTTTAAATTGACCGATAGGTTTGATGTTTCAAATAAATTTTTTATTATAAATATATACGCGTGTAAAGTCAATTTTGCGCATATTTATAATGGATCATTTATTTTGAAGCGTCAAACTTAGAATTTAATTTACTCAAATTTCTTCAATCGACATAAAGTGTTCGATCATTTACGGGATTTACTGTATACGTAAACAGGTACTCCAAAAATTCATTGAATTTATTCGACCTGTTTGATGACTCCATTTTTATCATAGCACGAAAAAAAAAGCGCGAATACCTCTCAAAGCGAACGAAACAAGCCAGACACAAAATGAAGCCGCGCGCGGACGTTACCCATGCACTACGAGTTCGAACGTCGAATGGCGCACCGACGTAAACGAGCATCAAGCTGAAAGTAGAAAAGTTGCTCACCTCCTGCGTATCCGTGGCGAGAGAGAGAGAGAGGCAAGAAACATTGCGACACAACTAACAATGTCATACTAAACTGTCACACATCGTGCGCGTGTCCTTTCGAATCGTACGTGATTCACTTAACGCCTACGTTTCAATGCGACCGCTTTATAGCCCTGGCTTTGGCGGTGCCTGGGTCATTTCTGACGCAGTCTTGAGTTTTAATCGTTGAGTCGGTATCCGACACTTGATGGTTTGTTCGCGTGAAAACGATAAGAAGACGATCGTGTACCGAAGGAACGCATTTTCTGGCAGTATTCAGTGTGTTGAGAAGTATTCAGAAGGACATATTCGCCTTTATCTAAAATACACAAAATTCGTACGTTTGTTATTTCATTACATGTAAATTTCTATTAATTATTAATGGATGATTATCGTTTCACACTAGGTACTATCAGGAGTGTGCAAACGAAGCTCCGATGGAAGATGCAAAATTATAACGACGATATGTTCAGCGAATGATCAGTGAGTTAACTGCTAATGAAAATATATAGAGCTTGGTTCAATTTTTTCTTAAGTACCTTGAATGTCTCCGCTGCTATCGTATGTATGAGAGAATTACTGAGATCATGACGGTTAGCAAAGAAAATTCCTCCCAGTCATTTCAATATCATAGTTTATCGTAACACATGCTTTCAATAGCATTTATAAAACAGTAAATCCTGAACAAATTTGAAGACAAAGACATCTTCACATTGGAATGACCTTGAAATGACCACGAGTGACAATATAACCAGAAACAACATAAATCATACGGAGTAACGAACGTTAAACAAGCACAAAACTTATTCTTAGAATACGTAACAAAAGTATCAACTTGAAGACAGTTTGCTCATGGAATCGTGTCAACAAAACTGTTTAACAACTCGAAGACAGTTTGCTCGCGGATCTGTGCTCGCTACCACTTCACCGTCTACTTCTATGAGTGCTACACGCGTCCGAAGTTTGCAACCATGAATTTGTCAGCATCCCGTGTAGCGCGTGTTCAATATTCAGAAACAGTATACTTCGCGTCGCAGGAAGAGTCATAAACGCCCTCGCGGTGTTTTCGAAGTTTGCTCATTTTCTGCAAGGGTGGTAAACGAGTTTACAAAATACAATCGCGTGGAAATCTGGCGGAGAGAAGTCGGAGGCCGTGTCGCGCTCGAGACAGAGAAAACGTTGGGTCAGGACTGACCGAGGCACCGCCATTAGGTTGAGACGTATCATACTAATTTACGAGTCGAAACATACAGAATCGTCTATCGAGTTAATTCCATCGTTTGTCGCTAGGGAATCCGTGGGCTTCTATTCGTGGACCTGGAATTTTTATCGCAACGTTCGCGACGATGCTCGATTTACTTTTCTTTTTCTTTTTCTCTCTTTGTCCTTTCTTTTCTCTTTTTTTTTTTCGTTTTGTTTTCTATGCAGAAACATACGGACTCCGCACGGGGTGGCGGACCCACCCCCACGATCTACACAATATTTACACACACAGTAAAACGTTTGCAACCTGACGCTATACATTAGTTATCTAATATCGGTATAAAATCGTGATTGTTCGTAAATATTTCGTTAAATCTGCAGCACTTGGATTCAGTCGCGATCGCGACGCGCTTCGTCGAGGTAGCCACGCCGCGGTATTTTCTTTTTTTTTTTTTTTATTTAACAATTGCCCGGGAGACTGTCCCTTCTCGCTGCTAGGCTCGAAGTCGTCGTCAATTAATCTAAGGTTTTTGATATGAGCAAATTGGCAAACGCGTTGACCTTTCCAATTTGAACGTACACGAATTTCTCCCCGTGTCGTTTTAGGGAGAGGGGGGGGGGGGGGGTGAAAGACGTAGAAAACACTTTAAAAAATTAGTCAACTTTCATTCGAATTTTTTTCCTAATTTTCTGTTCCTAAAGAATTCGAGGATGTCACTTATTCGATAGTAAATTCTGTGCATTTATGGGCAGAATGTATACCGTAAAACTCGATTCAATTCTTTATTTGCTATGCATACACTTTGTATACGTTTGTCACATGTAGATGTTTATCCAAACTCATATTTCTACATTTATAGATAAAGAAATGAATTTTAAACGGAAGTGCCTCTTGTCTTTTAAACAATGTAACATTTAATCATTGATATTTTATATATTCTTGAATCTGTTCGCATTTGCCCATATTTCTAATTACCATAAATGCATAAATTTTCATATTCGAATACGACCACATTAATTTTTTTCAGTGTTCAAGAGTTTCTAGAATTTTTGGCCTACGCGTGTAGTTCACGAGGGGTTCGAGAAACTGGAAAGGTCGAAGATCGTTGCTCCTTCATCGATTATTACGTTATCGTTTCAACTTTCTACAGTTTGTGTCTGTCAGTGTTGCACACAGTTCTCGATCACTCATGGTGGAGTTCTTCCTTAGGTCCTTCGGATCAAATACGCTTTTCTCGGGCTTAGGAATCAGTACGTTTTTTTTTTTTTTTTATACCGTCCCCTAGTGTAGATCGGTAAAAGCTTCGCAGATCGGTTTCCCCGAGGATTTCTGCTTCTAAAACAGAACATCAAAATTCTGGGGTAAGATTGGGAGATGGATTCAGATCGATGAGTCGGATCGATGCATAGCAGGCGGTCGCGTACGTCCCTCTTGTGCAGAAAGGAAATCTAAAGAAAAGGGATCTATAGATCAGTTAAATCTTCAAAACGGTTCATGATTTTTTGTGAAATAAAATTCGAAAATTTACGGTGAAATATCTTTTTGCGAGGTTTCTCTTTCGAGAAAATTAATTTTGACCATTCGCGAGGCACACGCGCGATTAAGCTCGGCTTTGCTATCGCGTGCGTCCATTAATCATTATTTTTTTCCGTGTTCGTGTTTGTAAACATTGGAAATTGTACGGTGTTATCAGATTTACCTAGTTAATTACAAGATAGGAAGATCGACGGGAAAGGGATAACACCATACTATCATTCGGATTTGCTAATACCAGAGCTAGTAGAAATGATGAGTAATGGTCAGACGCGACAGCCAAATCGAACTGGTCAGCACACGCGTTCCATGAGTTTTTAAATTTAGTTGTACCTTTGCACAATAATCAGATTCATATGTTCAAATTTGTTAAACGCCTAGAAATTGAAGAATTGAAGAATCCAACATAAAGGAAATCCCTGGTCTACTAATTACAAATTTCAAAAACTAGATATTTCATTTCAGCTTCTATGAATTTCCATCGTTAAAAAAACTTATGTGTAGAATATTAACAAAACAATAATAGGACAACGTCCTTTCTGTCACATGCGCGCCCCGTTAATTTTCAAATTCAAATTCCTCCGAAACGAAACCGCGCACAACAAAATTCCACTGTACATTTTCAACCCATTTTATCATAAACATTACGTACATATTAATGCAAAATTGCGCGAAGTTTTCTATATTCAGAATTAACAGACCATATCATTGTAATTTCATTGTAATTTCATTTTAATTTCTCTTTTCCTTTGAGAGCCAGCCGACGCATGTTTGGGTCAGGATTTTCGAGCCACCCCGTACAAGGCCAGAACGATTTGCAGTTTGAGATTCGTGGGAGAATCGCGGCTACTCTGTTGCGGTCTGAAGTAGCTAGGTCCGAAGGGGAACAGCGATACTGACGTTTGTTGGCTCGTGGAATTGTTTGCTCTCGAGTACACGAGGTCGCCGTCGTAAAGCCTATACATATCCGTATATGTGGACGAGCCCTTCTCAAATACTTGCCTGTTTGCTTACCGCTCGAATGTACGCAAACGGTAGCCCCGAACACATATTGTAGACACGCGAGGCCCGCACGCGGGCTATCCCGAGCTACGTTTCGCCGTGCACCGCGCCTTAATTTCATTCCGACGCTCCCGTCGTTGGAAGTTTCGTTCGCGAACGTTTCGCTTTTGGCTTCCCCCCCTTCCATAATTAAACGTTTCTTCTAATTTTCGCTGAGCATCGACCATCACTCGACCCTTCAAAGGGCTACACCAACGTAGATTTAGAAAAATCGAGCATTTGTTTATTTTACTTATCACAGTATCGACTGCAGAGTCCAGGCAAAATGTTCAGCTTTTTTAAACCCCTTGGCATACTTTATATTGTTTTCATTTTGGGTTGAAGATTGAGAGTATTGATCCATTAATAAATTCTCATCATCAAAATTGAAATTTTGTAATAAGTTTAAAGTAACGTAATTTTTTCGTTAATTCGTTTATTACTTCTCGAGCTCGTCTACTATTGTATTTCCGTTATAAATCACACGGTTCGAGGGAATAAACAATCTTTTCAAATTTACTCACGCTGTACGGGAATGCGCGTTTTCGTGTTTTCATTTTTATATAAATTATTCATATAACAGTATTACTTTGTAGATTGGCTGCGAAATACTGCGGTAACCAGTCGTTCTAATTGAATTCTTCGTGCCCATCAAATGAAATTGTGTTTCGGATTCGTAATAACAGAATGCACTGCGTCGTTTCATTTTCCCGTTTTCACAGACGCTGTAATCGATTGGCGTCAATTGCTACTCCATCGCAATGATTATTAAGTGCAATACATTGTACGAGTAAAATTTAACGTGCACATTAAAATGACACTGTGCACGTACTACTGAATAATAAATAACTACGACGTTAAATAGAGGATATAAAGCTGAAACGAAGGAAAATGCACGGGAGAAAGTAACCAATTTATTAATACGCTGACGAACCGTAACCTGGAGCTACACAATAATTTTCATCAATCAGTAAGGAGAGAGATACTTTTCCATTCCAAATATATTATAAATAAATTGTTTTGATCAAACGAATAATTAAGTATCGAGGTTTCGATATTAGTATTATTAAATCAAAACGAAATTCTTTCGATCGAATGAAATATTAATTAATTGACATCATATAATTAAATCGAAGTTCTTTGATTCAATAATTAATAAATATGTGTAGCGTATTGCAATATACCGTTCATGCAATTATCACCTTCTTCATAATGACGAAAGAGGAAAGAAACTTTTCTTGAAATTCAAAATAGGTTTGATTTAATTAAACGCGCACTATGTGCATGTACTCCGTTAACTTTAATTAAAATACACCTCTCATACAATTATCGTGAAATACCTAAAACCAAAAGAAGAAAGAAGACTTCGTTTACCTTTCTTGGAATTTCAAACTGTTTCGATTTAAATAAACGTGCGCTATGTGCACCTGCCCCGAGAAGCTTAATTAAACTGAACTTCTCACCTTACTCCGAAACTTATGGGCAAAAGGAACATAAGAAGTTATGTCTTTCTTAAAATTTTAAACTGTTTCGATATAAATAAACATGGATACATGCGTTAATCTCAAACATTATAATTAAAATACACACGAAGGAAAGAAGTAAAACGTTTTTAACCATTCTTCTTCCTGAACACGAAGATGATCTACACTAGGTGTTTCCGATAAAAAAAATATCACCCTGTATGCTCCTTTAATATGATTGC